GGCCTACTGACCTTATGAGGTCTACCTGAGCAAGAATGGTGGGGTTTATTTGGTATCCATTATCGGTAAATTACTTTGTAATGAGGCAGCGCAATCAACCCTGCAAGGTCTCCTAGCATGGGAAATTACCCTTGTCTGGTGGTTTTACAAGCTTGCAGTTGACATGGGGAGTTCAGAACAGGTTAGGGCTCTTAAGGCCTATTGCCAATTCTGCTTCCCTGTTAGATGGGCTATTAGTCTCTTGAGTAGCAATAGAGTCCTTAGGACTTACAGGAACTGGTGGAGTTGGACATTCATGGATGGCTGATCTATCAAGGAGAATTAATCTTGAAAATTCATTGTTATCTCCAGAATGGAGATGGCATGCATTCATACACCATATGCGGGGAGCCACAACAAGAGAATGCTACGACTCCAGGTCTGGCTTGGAATAGCTCAGAGGTATTTTGGCAGCACTAGGAGGAACAAAATACTGGGTTAAGAGGACCCAGCAAAGCTACTATTGAGTTTCCATCCAACAGTCATCCTGAGGAATCCCTGGCAGTCATGAAAGCCACAGGTGAGTCCAAATAGGTAACTGGAGCCAACTTTAGTCAGTGAGCATTGGACTGACCTTGTACTTTGTTGGAGAAAAGGAGAACGCAATCTGATTAGGTCTACATTGCCATCATTGGATGTCACCTCAGCTGCCCACCCAAAAAAAAAAGACTTAGAATTCAGCCATAGCTTCTGAATCTGCATACCTGTGAGGTCATCCCGCACCAGAAGTTTGAATAGGCTGCTCGCGAGTCCAGCATTGGGGCCACGATAGTCTTGTTCTCAGCTATCAAAAGGCCCAGGGTGTCCGGGTTTGTTAATAGATTGTCTGAATCCATAAACTGCACAATGGAGCATTAAAAAAGAAAGCAAAGTGAATTCAACATCAGCGATTTCTATTGATGGTTGCAAGTTTCTGTAATAACTGGTCAATATGCAATCTTAACTGACCCAGTACAGATCAAGGGAGTGATTGAGACATTGAGCTAAGAGCAGGGAGACTCAAATGAAGTCCATCCTTAGTCACCATGGGTTAAACATACGTCAAACTGGTCTTGATAATAAAGATAATATTGCTATTCTTACTACTACTACTATTACATGCCTGTGGACCAATCACTTTTCTCAGACCAAGCTACCTCATGCATAGCTTTTCATTAGGCAGTAACTGGTGTGGAAACAAAGGGTTACAAATGCACAGAAGGATCTCTCTCTTCAAATGCGGGGTAACAGAAATACACGATTATGTTGCAGTTCAGCTGTAGGGGATGCCCTGCGCAGCCTGTCCATAAATCCCAGACAATGAAAAATTATTCAGGGATGACGCAATGTAACCAGAGCCCTGGCTCTACTTCCAGAAGCTCAGTCACAATGTGCACAATGGGACTTCTATCAAAATAAACCTGCCAGTTCAACAACAACAAAAAACCTCAAAGAAACCTGCCAGCAGATCCAGATACAAATACTGTAGGTATTACTACTTTTCATGCATTGGCAGAGAAAACATAATCTGTATTTAACCTCAGTGAGAAAGATCCATTTATACAAGTTATCCAGTGCCAAACATTTCTGGGCTGGAGACCAAGTCTTCATTTCAAAACGGAAGTATCAGTCATGACCAGCCAAGAAGCCGACCCCATCAAGGCCAGCTGTTCTACTGGCTCCACCCTATACTCTGAAGCTTCAGGGCAGCTGCTCTTGTTGGGAGAGACAACACAGAAAAGGAATGGGAGGCGGGAGGGGAGAACACGCAATGGACAGGCTAAGGAACCTCAATTGCATTCACAGGCCATGAAGTGTCAGACCCAGCCAGCTTCAGAAGGCAATATCCAAACTAAAGGAAAAACAATCAGCCATCAGCTCTGAGTGATATTAAATTCCACATATTGTGAAAATTAATACCGCATAGTACATGCGCTTGTCATACTCTACATCTGATAGTTTTTGTTTTGGATGATTTTAACGGTATTTCAGAAAACATCAAATGGGCAAAAGTAGTGAAGTTGTAAAAAGCACCATGAACAAAGAGGGACAATGATTAACGAACAAAGAGATGACAAGAGTTTTTAAATGTTATTCCCATCTTCCACCCTTAGGCATTTTCTATCTCCTTCACTCTTTTTTTTCTGCATGGCAAAAAAAAAAGGGCATCCTGGTTGAAACTCACCTGGATGAATTTGGCTTCCCAGCCAGTTAAAGAAAACAGGTAAAATACAATACAAAATAGAAGACTGGTTTCAAAAATATCCACTGCGTTCCAATCAAATATATTTATTCCTCTCCAGAGCCAAGATCTAGAATTGGTTAGGAAAACTAGTCTCCTTCAATTATTTTGGATAATAATTCTTATAGTCCCCTACTGCTGGCCATACTATTTGCAGCTAATAAGAGCTAACTGCAAAATAACTGCAGGCTACTAGTTCCTTCCGCCAACTTAAGCAGAAATTCATGCTGCAATAGACTTGAGTATTCAGCTCCTAACAAATCTCTTTCTCAGTTGCCATGTCTTCTGTTCTTTAACTAGGGCCACAAAAGGTGCTCCTATTTAAACTGGAAGCAAAGAAGTGTGTGGAACGCATATGGGCAACACACACATACAGTTGTACTGCTGAGAACTGCAAACTGGCAAGCATCATCATAGCAATAGCAGATTTTTTTATATACCGCTTCATAGGGCTTTCAGCCGTCTCTAAGCGG